CTTGTATTTGTACAGCTATGAATTAATATTATGAGCAGAATTAGAGCCCACAAGAGCAGTGAGTTTTGAGTGACAACTGCCTTAAGAGCAAGCTCAAAAGCCTAGACAGAGTTCTTTCCAGGGGGTTGAATGAGGACTATGAGAAACAACAGTGATATTCTAAAAGAGAAAATTCCAGAACCCCTCCCCAAACCTGTGAAATCAGAATCTCTTTGGATAGGACAGTGGGGTCTCCATTTTTGTGAGCTCCTTGAGTAATTCTACTAAAGTTTAAGGAAGGGGACATGAATTATGAAATAAAATGGAAAAACCACATTTAATATATAGTTGCTATAAATTATTAGTCATTCTGGTTATAAAAATTCTGTATTTGGGCATGGAAAAACAGCTTTTATAAAGCAGAGAGCAGCTTTTATATTTGATTCTAATTAGAAAGTCAGGAAGACTCACTCCACCAAAGACTACATAACCTGCACACACAATTACGTGGTCCTCTTGGATATACAGAATGGGACTAGACTTCTGAAGGCCATTTTTTTATCTTCAGTTTTAGAGCCTCTCTTTTACTAGCTTGCAACTTTTTCACTTTAAAAATTAGACTGGAAGAAATATGAGATAAAAAATTTATCTAAAGAATTGAAACTATAAGAAAAATACTAGCAATTAGAAAATGTATCAAAATTTGAGAACTTCAAGTCTGCTTTTTTGAAAAGGAAAACACGGTGGCTCACTCCTGTAATCCCAGCACTCAGAAGACTAAAGCAGGAGGGTTCAAGACTGGGTTGGCTACATAGCGGTTTCCAGGCCATTGCACTACATGGTATTTGTATTTGTATTTCCTTGTGTACCAGCACCAGTTTGGAAGATAGCAGACGAATTTAAAGAACTAGAGAAAAAGAATACAAGCAGAAATTTCCACAGAGCTAACTGAGCACCTACTATGTGTTTAGCATCCATCCTTGCCCTTTGTACACTGTTCAGTAGCTCATACCCAGTCAATACAAAACTGGGCTTCAGGGCTGAAGAGATGACTCAGCAGTTAAGAGCACTCGCTGTTCTTGCAGAAGACCCAGGTTCTGTTCTCAGCACCCACATGGCAGCTAACAACACTCTATTTCTCCAGTTCCAGGGGATCTGACTCTGCTTCTGGACTCCGTGGGTGATGCACATCATGGGTGCACTTATAAGTATACAGGCAAAAAGCTCACACATGTACAAAAATAAAATATTTAAAAAACAAATACAAAAACAAAAAATAACTGGGTTTCATCTTGTGTCAAAGAATCAACTCAAAAGAAAGCCCCAGAGAATCTCATTTACACCCTGATATACTGTTGGTGCCTGAGTCATCATTCACTTTCTACCAGGAAGGGATGGAAAATGCACTTATAAACTACTTCCCACCTGCTAAATCATTTTATTTGGCAAGTGTTTTCAGTGTTGCTGACACAGCATGGAGACTGGTGCGGAGTAATGAAGACACATTTTTTTGTTCCTTCCTTTTAGAAGCCCAAGCCCTCTTCATCAGTCCATTGCTATCCAAAGTGAAATGATGACAGGTGTAGGCTAGGGCTCCTTCTACTCTTTTTATCCCTGACAGAGGATCTTCCCTAAAACAAGGTTTTAATGCTTCATCAAAGCTTGGAGAAGCCAGAGGATGTTTTGGAAGCTAGCCAATTAGATGTATCTGCAGGGTGCCTGCTCTTGCTTTCACTTGTCTAGCCTTAGCTGTCTGGGTTCTTTCATCCTTAACTAAACAGCAGCGGATGAGCCTGAGGCAGTAAAGAGGATCTGAGAAGAACTGGGAGAGCCAGCTCCTTTACATAGGGCACTTCAGAGACTCTGTCCTATTCTGGACAGTTTCTACCTGGCTGCTATTAAGCACAACCCTATGAAACATAGTGAGAATTAGCAGAGCAGATGGATAGCACTAGTAGGAAGGAAAAATAGCCCCTCATTGTATGTCACCATTGCACTACTGTTCTGTCTTCCTTCTTAAACCATGAGCATTTTAAGGATGAAAGTTCCACCTTATTCATATCTCAGACCTGGGAAGACACACAGGTAAACATTTTAAAGGTTTAAATTTAAAAGAATAAATCAATACACTTAACATTCTATTTCTTCAAAGCATCCCTTTGTGGTTTTATTTTGTTTGCTTGTGATCTCAGAGCCAAGAATGTCCGTTTGCACTCCAGTTCATCTATAGCAAATGAATTCACCCATGAACTGAATTCACCTGTCCAACCCAATTTTTGGTTTCACCCTCTTTCCTGCTTTTAGCCAGTGTGTTCTTCCAGACACAGACACTGACTTGGCACCAACCTGCAAACATTCCCTGAGATATCTGTTTCTCACTCGTTTTCCTTTTCTTGAGGCTCTTCCTACCTTTTCATCATTGAAATACTGGCTCAAGAATCATGTCTTCGGTGACAAGGGCCAAACAATCTCTCTCTACTCAAAACCCAGACTTTTTTGGTAACCTTTTTTTAACTTTTAAAAAAACTTTGGAAAATTTCATACATGCATATAAGGTGTTTTAATCAAATCCACACCCACCCCCTCCCTCCCAACACCTCCCATAACTCCCCATCACTTTTTTCTGACAACTTCGTGTACTCTTCCTTCCTTCCTTCCTTCCTTCCTTCCTTCCTTCCTTCCTTCCTTTCTTTTTAATGGAGTTTTTTGCTACTTTAACATTCCCCCCTCTGAAGAGGTAATCCTAAAATCTTTTAGGGATTAGATAAGGGCTCCCAAATACTTTTGACATTTTTGGCAACCTTTTCACAGTGCTTATGGCCTATACTGCTAAGTTGAATTACTAGGAATCCCTGTCTAAATCAAATGGAAAAAGACTCTGGTTCCATTTCTGTAGCACAATGAGACTGTCCTACTATGTCATCTTCCACACAATTTACATCAATGATTTTAGATGAATGAGCACTGGAATAAAAATGGTTTCACAAAGGTTCAATATGATGCAGCAATAGCTTTTATGCATAGGGTTAGAAGCAAAAGAAGAAATAGTTGAATAAAAAGTGGAGAAAGTAAAATAAATATTTAAAGTAAATATTGAGGACTGAGAAAAAGACTGTGAAGATTCACAAACTGATGGAAGAAAGAATAGTCATATCATTTACTAAAACCACAATTTCAAGATGACTGACATTTGAGGAGACTTTCACTTACTCAATAAATATTTATTAGGGGTTACTGGATGTAAAAAAAAGATAAATCTACACTCTGGTTTCAGACCACTTACAGTTTTCCGTTGGCACACTACACAACCACAATCAGATATAAAATTCAATGAAACCTATTACTTTCAAGCTCACTTTTAAAACTAATAAAAAAATATGATAATCAAGAAGAATTCTTTCATATTTTCCTCTAGTCTTACAAAAGTTTTCAAATATCTGAACAAAAAATTTATTTTCAAATAACCATTTCTGTTTAAGAGAGAAAGCCTTATGCAGGGTCATGTGGGACTACATCAGAGTAAGCATCTACTTTTAAAAAGTAGTTTCAGAATCTTAATCCTATCATTTTGAACTGCAGAGGTAAATAGGATACTGAGCATTCACACCGGAGACCCCTGTGATGAAGGAAATTAATGGAAATGTGATCTTATACAAAATTTCAGGGCCTTTTCACCTTCGGTGCATGGCTGTTCTAGAGAATGCACTCACTCTAAATAGTATGTCAGTATTCTTAGGCACACCTGCTGTTTCTCACTTTGTCTGTCCAACAGTAAAAGTTCATCCAATAGTTTATACTTTTAGCCCAAAATTTTGCCTTATGTTAACATTCCTAGAAACTTTCAAATGAAACTGTTTTCATTAGTAAATATTCATAGTCACTAATGTCATTGGTTTTAAGAAAAGCTACAACTGAATCCCATTATAAATAATATAATGTGCTTATTGTCTCATATCTCTATGTATTTATCTCTTTTTCTAGCTTACACTTTTGCTGAATATTTGCTTTAGAAAATCATTGTCAAGTAACTGTCATATGTCCAAGTTGGTAGAAAATTGGAATGGTTTCCATGTTGGAAACCAGCTGAGAACCAATAAAAATGTAAATCTACACTACACAGAGAAAATGGGAACCCCAAAGACCCAGGAATACATGTGAAATTTCCCAAACATTTTCCATCAAAATATACTCTATCAAGTTTTGGGATTTGGAAGCCTGTGTAGCAAATGTAAAATCTCAATGTCGGAAATAAAGACTGTTGAAATCTACTCAATAAGCAAGAGAATTTCAATATTGAAAAAACTCAAGAATTCGATAGCAGATATTATTAGCCAAGTATAAGATCTATCACATACAAATGAAAAATTAAGAAACCTGTATTTTTTGACTATTGTTTATAGACTATTTGGTGAGTGCATATCTCAGGAATAATTAAGAACTGTGTTCTGCAGTTCTTATCGCTGGTAGTAGTGGCAATGTTACTAATTAATGAGAATTAGGGACACCAATGACTTTGCTTAGCAACAACTTCATTTTCAAAGGTGTAGTTTTGGAAATCTTTGTAGATAATTATTTAAAATCTTTGCATACATTAATCTACTTTCAAACTATAAGCAGCACTGACCAGAACAGTTAGAGATCAGTGCAGACGTTATTTGTTGAGTTTCACATATCTCTGAAGGATGTGTATCTAGCCAATACATCTAGCAAATATTTATGCAAGACATATTATGTATAGGCATAAGACTAAAATATAGTTTCCAGTTTCAAAGGGTTATTTTCTAGTGTGATAATTTTAAACTGATGACATAGCAGTGGGTCATATTTGAGCAAGAAGCTTTTGGTATGCTAGGAATATCTACACCTTACAGTACTGTGATTAAAAGCATTAGAATTCTCACTCTGTCATAAAGAGCTAGAATAGATTACTGTAGTCACTGTCTGTGAGAGCTGAGAAAGCCACTTAATCCCTGGTCTATTGAGTTCATCCATATGAAAAATATAGAAATGAGAAAACCTACCTTGTAGGGCTGTTTGATAAGACGTGTTTTGTAGCATAAAGTAATTGCTCTGTGAGTAGCAGTAGTACTAATAGTAGTGGAGGTTGTAAGACTGCAGAAGAAATGCTGGATTCTGAAGACTGTATGGGACTTTACCTAACTAAAAAGAGAAGGAAAGTCATGTTAGATAAAAAGAACAGCAAGCAAAAAGAAGTTTGAGATGGGGTTTATTTAGAAAAATTCTATACTTTCCACATGAGGTACTGATTTATCCAGTGGTCAGGAAAAAAAAATGATAAGAGACAAGATAGGGCTATAAGATTTTTTATTCTCACATTCTCTTTCCAATTAGTGCTGAATGGAATTTCTATCAGGAAAAGGAAACATTGGTGCCTAGAAAATCTGTACATTCAAAGACAAGCAATGGAGACTTTGTTGGACTGGGGAAAGCATATCATCAAGTCTATTCCACAGGCAATGAGTAACCTGCAGGCGGGGGCGGGGTATTTCTTTTGAAATAGTTAAAATACTTTCCAGTCTCAACATTTCCTTTTTTTTTTTTTAAACAAATGTCATCACTGTTGACAAGAGGTGAAAAATGCAAACAAAATCATTTCTGTGTGATTGATGGAGCTGGGTAGACAGATGAATTGGTTCATATTCATTTGTACAATCAATGTCTCAAAAGCATATAATTCATTTTCAAAACAACTCTGAAAAGTACAGGGATTAAAATAGACACAGTGAAGTTACTGGGACACTGATACATTTTCAAAATTGTTATGTCCCAGTTGAAGCTGGCTAATCTGCTCAATGACAAAGAAAGTCAGATATATTCAAGACTACAAGGTCTCTTAGCCATAATAAGCAACAAAATCAAAACTCAAACCAAAAATCTCATATCTGTGAGAGTTATCATGCAAGAGAAGACTAGCCACTTGACATCTTTCCTCATAGGTCACTGACCCAGGAACCCCTCAGGTGAAGATATAGTCAGATTAAGCCTAACTTTAGGCTGTTTTAGGTAAATTCAGACAGATTATCCCATGGCTTTGGGAATCTCTCTTCAGACTACCTGCAACAGAATCATCTAGACTGCTCCACTCACACTTACTGAATTAAAACATCTACAGGACAGCTCCCTGACTTCTAAGTTTTTGACAAATTTTCTTTCATAATCAGCATGAGCAAGATATTTGAAACTAACATTCTGAAATCCAATCACGTTTTCTTAAAAATAAAATGTTTCAAGTTAAAATGGTGATAGACCCGTGCCGTTACTTTATTCTTTGCTAAATAATAAAATCGATAGGCTATGTGGCACAATTCTTGCCCTCAGGAAGCTCTCAAGAGTGGGCAGGTATAAACTCAGGATACAAGATGAAACAAAAAATTGAGCTCTTATTATGAACATGTGCTGAATTCTTTCAGTAAGAACATCATCTGGCCAATATCACAACCAACTCTGTAAAATAAGTGTTTTCAACTGATCTGGGTTGCACTAGAGGAGATAGATGTAATTCATTAAAGTGGAATGAATGCCAAGAGATGAGAGCAATGTCAACAGGTTAGAAAGAGGTCGCACACACTCTTAGAAGCAACAACTGCCATATGTTCCTTCCCAGGACTCGATCTCCCTGGAGAAGGAGACAATTCATGAAGAATTCACCACAGTGAAGATTTAAGATATAATTGGGGATTTCATTCAAGAGGAAAGAATTTAGAAAGAACTCACACAAGAAGATGACATTGGGGAACTACAGGAAGATGGTCCCATCAACGTTTTCAGATTTCTAATTTGAGCCCCAAATAAGAGAAGTTATGTGGGTACACTATTCCCATATTGGGGGGGGTTCTAGTTCTCTCATTGCCCACCCAGGCCGGTGAAGCACCTTCCTATTGCACTCATATAGTACCATACACTGACCTGACTAACAGCATGGGCTAAGGTGCCTCAATACTTACCTGTACCGTGCTATTCTTTTAAAATTTCTTCAACTGAATAACCTGTATGTGTGTATGTGTGTGTGTGTGTGTGTGTGTGTGTGTGTGCCCGTGGGTGTGTGTGCCCATGGGTGTGTGTGCCAGAGAGAGAGAGAGAGAGAGAGAGAGAGAAATTTTACAGCCCTCTACTCTTGGTTCCCTATTTCTCAAAGTACAGTCAGAAAAATGTTTAGTGAACAAAGTCATGTCTTGCCTTTACTCTGTTCAAATAGTTTAATATTTGATTTCACTCAAGGTTCGGCTAAAGCCTTTGAGATGGCACAGAAGGTTCAGCATAATCTGCTCACTCCCCTCCACCTTCACCCAATGCCTTCCCAACTTCATCTACTTCAATTTCCCTTTGCTGTCTCTGCTCCAGCTATGACTGTCCTCCTAACTACATTAACATAGCAAGCAGGATTCTAAGTTAGGACTTTTGCAGCAGCTTTTCCTGCAGCATGGAGCTCTTTCCCTGGATATGGCTGTGATTCACTCTGTGTCCTTTATTTTCTAGAAGCATTCCATGTGGACTCTGAGTGAGGTCTTCCCTATCCACACCACTTAAAATTATAGCCTGTCCCATCACTGCCTTGCCTTCTTCTCCACATCTGAAAATCTTATTCATCCTTCAAAACTCAACCCCAATCATGGTAGCTCTCAACATTCTGTCTCTCTTCTGAAATCTAACAGATTTGATCATATGCCACATCATCTACTATATTTGTTACTGACACTTGGTTATTTCCCACTTAAGCAACAATGTTTTCACTTGTTATATTTTTTTCTTACTTTTGTTTTTTTTTGTTTACTCATCAAATAGTCTGTACACCTTCTGAAAGCAAGGGTTATTTGTATAGTCTCAACAGACTCAACATAGTTCCAAAGACAGAACACCTTTTGGTTTCAATAAATAGTATAATGAATGAACAAGTAATAGTAGTAGTTACCACTGGCAAAATGGTTAGCAAGTTGCAGGGCAATAAGCCAGTAGACAGTAAGATATTATTGCCATTCTACTGATGTGACTGAGGGAGTTCACCCAAGATCTTGCAGCCTAAGATGAAGAACAAGATTCACAGCAGTCTGCAAAGCTCTACCCTCCACTGTACATGTTCTATTCCTCTATCACTGTCTCCAAATCCATTACTTCTATTCATTAGGCACCTACTGTGAGTCAAGTATGTCAGGTACTTCACACGTTAATTAGTATTCAGAACAACACTGTGGGGAGACTATCAATTTTGCTTTACAAATGAAAAATCTGTAGCTTGGACTTTATACACCTTGACTAAGCACTCAAACCTAGCAATCATAGTACTGACAGTTAACTGGCCTGTTGAAAGATGCCCTGAGATGCCCTGGAGTCTCTGACATTTATCCAAGCTCACATAGCCCTTATCAGTGAGCCTGTGATTGTAGAAATCACTTCATTTGGAGTCTATTCCTCCTCCTCAGTTTCATATCATTGTTTTCCACATCAGGAGAAAACACATCAGTGACAACAGAAGGGATTCTCAAAATCCCATTTGGTTTTGGCAGGGTTCATTCTGTTTTCTTCTCTCATTTCCATATTTGTGTGTGTGTGTGTGTGTGTGTGTGTGTGTGTCTGTGTGTGCCACAGTGTAGGTCAACTCAATCTGTCATTGCTGAAAGGAGCAAGGTTGAAAGCCGCAAATTATAGAGAGGAGAGAGAGAGAGAGAGAGAACATCAGAGTAAAAGAGTGTGGATGAGAGGAAGAAGGCTGACCTGATTTGGTTTCTGTTGCTGTGATAAAACACTAGCCAAAGCCAACTTTGTGGAGGAAAGGGTTTATTTCAGCTTAGAAGTTATAGTCCATCCTTGAGGGAAACCAAGGCAGGAACTCAAGCAGGAACCTGGAGGTAGGAACTGGAGCACAGGCTAGGGAGAAAAGCTGCTTACTGGCTTGCTCCTCTGGCCTGTGCATGGCCTGCTTTCTTATACAAACCAGGATGAACTGCCCAAGGGCGGCACCACCGACAGTGGGCTCAGCCTGGCCCTCCCACATCAATCGACAATCAAGAAAATGATGCACAGACATGGCCACAGGACAATCCAATAAAGGAAATGCCTAGTTGAGGTTCACTCTTCCCAGGTCTGTCAAGTTAACAACTGAAATCATCCAGCACAAAGGCTAAAGCGGTGACTCTCTGTGCCTTAATTATCAATGGTTTGGAAAAATTATTACAGCTGGATGTGCAAAACTTGGGCTCAAAGAGCTCCCTCAAGTGGCATGACTAAATTAGCAGAAGCTTTCTGGAGCCTGCTTTAAAAAAAAATAATTTATTCTTTGAAAGTTCCGTACATGTATACAATGTAACTTGATCATATCTACCTCCCTCCCCATGCCCTGTCAAATTTCCATCAAGATCCTATCACATCTCCCTCCAAACTTCATATCCTTCTTTCATTATTTGTTAACACACTGAGTCCAGGTAATGTTGCATACACACACATGGGTGGGGAAGGGGGATCCATTAAGGCATGGAGAACTTACCATCGACCATGCTCCTAAAGAAAACTAACTCTCCCTCCCCCAGCAGCTATCAACTGCTAATAGCTCCTCAGCAAGGGGTGGGGCCTAGGGAGCCACACCCCAGTCCATGCCGGGATTTTTAACTGGCTTGCTCATGTGCAGGTCTCATGTAGGTAACCCCTGCTGCTGTGAGTTCAGGTATACAACAGCCATGTCATGCCCAGAGAACAGTTTTTCATAGCATTCCCCTCCATCCTCTGTCTCTTAGATTCTTTTTGCCCCCTCTTCCACAATAGTCCCTGACCCCTGGGTATGAGTTGATATAGATGTTCCATCTACAGGTCTCCCTGTAGCTCCAGCTGTCCTGGAACTCATTATGTAGACCAGGCTGGCCTTGAACTCACAGAGATCTGCCTGCCTCTGCCTCCCAAGTACTGGGATTAAAGGCGTGCACCACCACCCCCAGCTACTTATTTTTAGCACTTTGAAAAGTAATGTGTCACTACCCACTGCAATAATCTTCTCTAATCAAGGTTGAGAACAACACAAATCTATGGATATAGACATAAATATTTAACAGGCAGATTGACAACATGACCATTTAGAGAAACAACATCAATAGGTTCTCCCCTAGGGCCTTTAACTTCCCTAGCCATGTGTTTTGACCACATTAGTTCAAGAT